GAGATGAGGGAGGAGGATCCAGGCGGGGGGCAATGCATGTGCCAAGGATAGAAGGTGAACCAGGCAGGCCCCAGGCCTCACAGGACCTTGTGGGCCAGAGGAGGGGCTTGTCCTGAGGAAGTGGGGGCCCTGGAAGGGATTGGAGCAGGGAAGACACTATTAGAGGGTGGCTGCTGCAGTTATTCGGAGTGACGATGGCATTGCCTACATTGCTTTGGGGCCACTGATGTGTGTGTGTGAGTCTCAGTCATGTTCAACTCTGCGACCCCATGGAATTCTCCAGGGAAGAATACTGGAGTGGGTATCTGTTCCCTACTCCAGGGGATCTTCCTGACACAGGGACCGAACCCTGATCTCCTGCATTGTGGGCAGATTCTCTGCTGTCTCAGCCACCAGGGAATCCCTGCGGCTACTGGAGATGAAGGAGAAATAGACTCAAAAGAGAAACAGGAAAGCTGCAGGAAGGGGCTGTGATGGCCAATATGTGTACATTGTACATTTCCGTACATTGTACGGAAATTCCAGCGCAGGTGGGAGTGAGTGGGACGGGGCTTACTGCCCCCTGCCCCCCACCCTCTACCCTCCTGCTAGGTTGTGCTCCTGCCACGGGTTAGAGAGTTGCCTGGACTGAGGTCTGTGGACCCTGGGGCCCCGCGGCGCTTGCAGGAGCTTCACGAGGCAGGCTGCCTGGAGGCAGCGAGGGTGAGCCCACCCCGAAGCATGCCTGAGGCCTGCGCCCACCTTGCCTGCAGCATCTCAGCCCTGCTCCATGGAAGTGGCCTCGGTGAGCGTGTGGCCATGGCTGGAGGGGGATTGGAGGACAGGGGTTGCAGTGGGCCCCACGGGGTTTACCTGATCTTGCCATTTCTCCTGCCAGCATGTGAGTGCCACCTGCAGGGGTCACTGAGCACCGAGTGTGCCCCGCTGGGGGGGCAGTGCCCCTGCCGCCCTAACATCACGGGTCGTACCTGTGACCGCTGCCTGCCTGGGACATTTGGCCTCGGGCCCACCGGCTGCCGCGGTGAGCCTTCAGGGCCCATGGGTGTGGGGTCTGGGACCAGCATGTCATTCCTCTACATGGCTCGATCGCCCCGTCACTTCCCACAGAGTGCCGCTGCCACCCCGAGGGGGCTGCCGGAGCCGTCTGTAACCCTGTGAGTGGGCAGTGCACATGTCGGGTGGGCCTCGCTGGTCGCCGCTGTGACCGCTGCTTCTCTGGCTGGTGGGGCTTCCCACGCTGCCAGCCCTGTGCCTGCAATGGACACGCCGAGTCGTGCCACCCACTCACAGGAGTCTGCCAGGACTGCCACGGAGCCACCACAGGCCGGCACTGTGAGAGGTGAGGCTGTGCTGGAAGGGTTGGGAAAGGGTCAGGATGAGCGGCCAGGCCCCTCTCCATGTGCCTCTGCCCCCAGGTGCTTGGATGGCTACTATGGAGACCCCACCCTGGGCTCAGGCCAGCGGTGCCAGCCCTGCCCCTGTCCTGGGCACCCTGGCTCAGGCCTCTATCATGGGACATCCTGCCGTGTGGATAGCACCAATGGACGTGTCCTGTGCCTCTGTGCACCTGGCTATGCAGGTGAGGCACGGTTGGCAGTGACCAACCCACGGCCCCGCTCGCTTGTTCACGGTCCTGTTAGGTCCACAAAGCAAATCTCTGCCAGTGCCACCTGTGAGTTTGAGCTACAGGCTGGGCTCCTCTCCTCACGGAGTTCCCATTCTTTTTTTCTGGCTGTGCTGGGTCTTTGTCGCGGTGCACAGGCTCAGTAGGTGCAGTGAGCAGGCTTTTCTAGTTGTGGCGCGTGGGCTTAGTTGCCTTGGGGTATGTAGGATCTTAGTTCCCTGACCAGGGATTGAACCTGCGTTCCCTGCATTGGAAGGAGAATTCTGTACCATTGGACCACCTGGAAAGTCCCAGGAGTTCCCATTTTTAATGAATTAGAGGTGTGAAACTTGTAGGCAAAGAAGATGGGCCACAATGTGGCCATCCTATCCTCTGCCCTCCTGGCTGGCTGGCCGACTTTTTGGCTGGTTAAGTGGGACCCAGAGGCCTCGAAGGTATAGGAAGACACCTAAAATAACCCACTCTCAACTTTGGTCCACTCCAGGCCCCCGCTGTGACCGCTGCTCCTCTGGCTACTTTGGGCGCCCCTGGCCTGGAGATGACCCCAGAAGGAGTCCGTGCCGGCCCTGCCAGTGCAACAACAATATTGACCCCCGTGACCCAGCTGCCTGCGACCCCCACAGTGGACATTGCCAGCGCTGTCTGCACCACAGCCATGGCGCTGGCTGTGCCCACTGCCGGCCTGGCTTCCACGGCAGTGCCCTGCGCCCAGGGGGCTGCCGGCGTGAGTGTGTGGGTGGGGTGGGTGAGGGCATCCCAAGGAGGGGAGGGGTGGACTCGTGTTCCTCAGCCCCTGTCAAGCCCTTCCTGTTCCCAGGCTGCAGCTGTGACCCCCGAGGCACCAGCCCTGTGAGGTGCCCACCTGGGGCTGAAGCCTGCTTCTGTGACCCAGTCAGCGGGCAGTGCCCCTGCCGCCCCCACACACTGGGCCGGGACTGTAGCCGCTGTGCCCCCCTCTTCTGGAACCTCGGGGGGCCCCGGGGCTGTGAGCCCTGCAGCTGCCACGCCCGACACACTTTGCAGCCGGGGTGTCACCCAGTGAGTCAGCCCGCGTTGCACGTAGCACGTAGCCGTGGCCGGGTGTGAGTGCATGTCTGTGCCTGTGACACAGTGTGATTGAGGGCCCGTGCGCGTGTTAATGCGACCGCCAGCAGAGGTGTGCCGGGCTGCGAAGAGCTGTGTGTCTGTGCTCTTGTGTGACATGAACTGTGAGCAGACCTGAGACCTCACGGGTCCAACCCCATTCATTTGGTGACTGACAGAGACGGGGTCTGAAGTGTGTTCTCGGGTCCCTGCTGAGGACAGTGGGGGTCAGGGAGTCAGAGGCCGTGGAGACAGTGGGGCACCCGCCTCAGGACACACAAGGGCCTGTCAGGAGTTGAGAGCCCAGGGGGCCCGTCTGGGGACGGTGGGGGAGTGGGGGCCGGCCTGGGGCTCAGACCAGAGGCAGACGGAGGGGAGAAGCCTTCAGCCAAGCACAGGTGTGGGTACTGCCGGGGTGGGATCCGGGCCGAGGCTGCTCTGAGCGCTCTTGCCCTTCTCCCTCGCTCTTTGGTTCACTGACTGGCCACACTCTTTTCCCTCAGGTCACGGGTCAGTGCCCCTGCCGGGCAGGATTTGGGGGCCGCACGTGCTCCCGGTGTCGGGATGGGTACTGGGGTGACCCGGAGCAGGAGTGCAGAGGTGAGCAGGGAGCGCTGGTTCACACGCTCCACCACCACCAGGGGTGAGGCCGTCCTGACAGGGCCCTTGGGGTGCAGTGGAGGAGCAGGGGAACCTTGGGCCTAACCTGAGGGAGTGCACCATGTGTTCATGGCTGTTTCCTCCAAAACTTAAAAGTAACAGTCGTGAAAACAACTACAGGGAAAGACTGTAGGCAAGGCCACGTCAGGTGGGTCTGTGGAGCAGACATGCAGGGTGCTTCTTTCCTGATCCCACCTGCCAGTCTTGACCTGAAATAACCCCAGCTTGGGCTACAGAGCCCCTGGAGCCCCAGGCTGTCTTCCTGCCCAAAGGCGGCCACTCAGGATGGCCCTTCTGGCCAGGGTAGATGCCAGTACCCCTGGCGGTCTGAGCAGTGGCTTAGGAGAGACCACCACACTCACACAGGGCGGTTTTCCTCTTCTAGGCCTGTGGAGGTGGGGCTGGGGTGAACGCCACCTGCTCCCTGCCCTGATTTTGTCTCTCCCCATAGCCTGTGCCTGTGACCCCCAGGGCTCCATCTCGCCCAGCTGTGACCCACACACAGGCACCTGCCGCTGCCGAGAGGGCATCTCAGGGCCGAGGTGCCAGGCGTGTGCCCGTGGCTCCACAGGCGGCTTCCCACACTGCACGTCCTGCCCTCCCTGCTTCACCTCCTGGGACCAACGCCTGGCTCCCCTCCAGCTGCATCTGGACACTGTGGCCCACGAGGTGGCCGCCCTGCACCAGGGCATGCCTGGCCGGGGTGCTGGTGGCCAGGGAGGAGACCTGCAGGCCCTGGAGGGTAAACTCCAGCAGGCCCAGACACTCCTGGAATCACTTGCCCCCACCGGAGGGCCCCTGCAACAACTTACAGAGTGGATCACCGGACTGAGGCAAGGGGTCTGGGGTAATTGCGGAGGAGGGCTCCAGCTGGCCTCCAGGGTCAGGGACTCGGACGGTCTCCGGCTGGCCTGTCTGAGTCCTGGGTCCAAGAATGTGGTGAGTCCTTTAGAGTGAGGAGTCAGGGGGAAAGGGGCATTTCTGGCCAAGCTGATACTCCATCTCCCCACAGGACAGAAAGAACCATGTTGGCCCAGGCACTGTGGGTCACAGCACAGGTTGTGGCAGAGAGAGAGTCATGGGTTAGGGGACAGTGTGAACGTTTGGAAGAAGTATCCCAGGAGTTAGACTGTGTCAAGGGCCTGGCCTGGCCCAGGAAGGCCACGGGAACCCAAGGTGAGGCCAAGTAGGCAGGTGGATGGGCCGCAGGTGAGGGTGGGGGCAAGGCTGGGCCAGGAGAAAGGGAATAGGTGCCTTTGCTTACGTTTCTGGGGGGCCAAGGAGACTGATGGACCCCACCTCAGCCAGTGGATCCCCAAGTCACCCCTCTGTCATTCCCATCCCCTACAGAGGCCAAGGCCCAGGTCTCCTCAGCTGCCCTGCTTTCTCAAGAGGCCCTGCATACAGTCCAGGTCGTGGCCACACTTGGAGGACCAGACAGCCTCCTGGGACAGGCCCAGGAGGCCCGGCGGTGGACAGAGCAGCTGCTGTGGGCAACGGGCCGGTCCACAGGGCCAGCGGTGTTGCGACTGAAATTGAAGGGGCTGGTCGACAGGGTCCAGAGGCTGAGTCCTCAGCTTTTGCAACTGCTAGACAAAGCTGGAGTGGTGGGTAGAGATATGGATCACTGGGGGATGTTTTGCCAAGGCGAGGACTCTCTCCTGGGGGTAAACTGAACGTAGGGCTCTTCAAGATCCAGGACACAAATCCCTCACTGGGACCCCGATCTTGTTGGCAGGGATGCAGGGGTCAGGGACCTGGGCTGGCCTATGTTCCTGTGCCCTCTGGTGTTCCCTCTTGCCCTGGGACCCTGCCTACCTCCCACTGGGCGCTCATTGCCTCCCGTAACTCCTCCCGTAGCCTGGACATAGCAGTCATCACCTTGGAGCAGTGCCAGCATCTGGTACAGAGCTGTGGGGTCTGTGGAGGGGAGCCTGGGGGAGTCATGGGGTACCATGGCTTGGCCATGGGCTCGCAAGAGACACATTCCATATATGGCCCACCTCTACCAGCTACGGCAGACCCAGGCTACTGCAAGCTCCACGGGAATCCAGGCCTGGGAGATGTGGCATCGTGCAAGGGGGTCCTGGGGCATGGCCACCGTGGCTCGTGTGCAAGCAACTGTGCAGACCATCCAGCGTTTCCTCTTGGGTACATGTCTGCTTGTTATATGTCTTCACTGCTGAGGGCAGGGGCAAGAGGGTCTCCAGGACCCTGCTAGGACACCCCTAGAATGAGGAAGACTTGTCAGGGCTGACCAGAGGTCCAGTGGGAGTATTAGTGTGCTAGCAAATGTTGAACAGGTTAGACCTGGGGGTCAGGAGGACTTGATTTGTAATGTTTGTCAATTTCCATGGTACGAGTAATTCCCATCATGACTAATATCAGCCTACCTATTATTTAACAACTGGAGGAGGAAATGGCAACACACTCCAGTTTTCTTGCCTGGATAATCCCATGGACAGAGGAGCCTGGCAGGTTCCAGTCCGTGGGGTCACAAAGAATCGGACACGACTGAGCATGCACACAGCCTCTAGCACACAGGGTAGTCATATCAAAGGCAGGGTCAGTGAGAGGTTAGGGTCAAGGCTCGTTGAATCAGGGATCAGAGTTCACGTCCAGGATCCCTACCTCCATCCCACAGCTGAAGGTGCGGATGCTGTGAGCATAGAGCTGGTGGCATGGCGTGGGCTGGTGGTGCCCGTCCCCCAAGACGGGGCAGCGGGCCTTGCCTTCCTGCTGGATCAGATCCAGGGTGCCCTCCCTGCACCAGAGGCCGTGAGTCAGGAGCTGCCCAAAGCTGAAGGTGTCCTCCATCGGGCACAGCAGACCAGGTGAAGGGTCAGGAGGCTGGTGGTAGAGGTCAGAGGGTGGGGAGGAAGGGAGTACTGGACTGACTGCCTGCATCCTTCAGGGCGGGTACAGCCAGGGCTCTTCACCAAGTGCTGGATTTGGAGGGAGTGCTGGTTGAGGCAGGAACTCATGCAAGGTCTGCAGAGCAAGGACTGCAGGTGGTGAAACAGAGACTTCGGGGTCTGGAGGCCAGTGCACAGGAGGTGATCCATGCCCCCATACCCTCAGCTCCCTCACACCTCTTGTTCAGAGGCTGTTGTCTCTATTCTTCCCCTGAGATCCTTAACCTATTCTGATAACACGGTGCTAAATACCCTGACCGTGTGAACACCCCGCCCTGCCGTGACCTCTCTGTGATCCCCTGATCTCCGCCTCAGGTGGCCAGCCACCTGGCCCAGGTTGCACTGGCGGGGGATGTGACCCCAGTGGTGGGACATCTGTCCAGTGGATCTGCGGCTCTCAGGACCCGTTTGGCCCTGACTCAGCGGCAGGCCTGGGAGGCAGAAGAGCGAGCCACGCATGCCCTGGGCGTGGCTGGGAGCCTGGGCCAGGTGAGATGGGAAAAGTGGACTTCAAGGTCTCAGGGACCACTGTGGAATAGCATGAATTGGAGTTTAGTTGGGACTGGGCTACACTGGGCTGAGGCAGGGTCTCAGTTCTAAAGCCCCTGTTCCCCCCAGGAACTTCAGGGGGCAGTGTGTTTGGGATGGTAGGATCCAGGTGGGTGGACTTTCAGAGCCAGCCCTGCCCTAGGAGCTGCAGGTGGCCCAGTTGGGTATGATGGAGTTGCAGGAGGGCACGGAGAGCCTTGTGGCCACGGTGCAGGATGCAGGAGAGCGGGCACAGCGGGCACGAGCTGAGGCCCGAGAGCTGCTAACGCTGGTACAGGACAGCTGGAGAAGACTGGAGGGTATGTGGCTGGGCCGTGGTGGGTGGGTATGGGGAGTGGTCAGGGTCAGGGTCAGAGGGATGGTGTGGGAGGGTCAGGGCTGGATCCAGGTTGGGTCCATATTCATATGGGGATCAGACTGGGGCCAAAATCCAGAACAAAGGGGTCAGATGTTGATTAGGGTTAGAGCTTATTTAGGGCTGGAGTCAGAGTCAGGGTCTTGATGGAGATGAGGGCCAGGGTCAGAGATTAGGGCCAGAGGTCAGAGCCTGGCTCACATGACCTTAATCTCCAGGGTTGGAACGCCGCCTGGCTCAGAACGAGGAGGCACTGGGCAAGAAAGTGGCCACCCTGTGGGCCCTGGAGCAGCGGGCAGCAGAGCTACTGGGTCACATGCGGCTGTGGGCCAGGGCATACGCCGCCTGCTGACTTCAGTCTGTGGATGCTAGTGAGAGGGACTCGGACTACCTGGGTGACTCTGAGTGACCCCACAGTGACCCAGGAATCCCCTGACCTTGAGAGACCAGAGACACCAGAGTGCCTGCTGATCCTGAGAGATCCATGTGACACCATGTTGTTTAGTGGTCCTCTGACCTTGACAAATAGGAGGGGTCACGTACAACTCCCTGAGGCCATCTAGTGCCCCCCGAGATCTTGATAGAGCCTTATCTCTGAGTGATCGATAATTCTGAGCGCCCTCTAGTATCCCTGGGCCCCTTGGATTGACCACACGACCCCCCTGGTGTCTGGTGACCCCACTCCAGATAACTGGTGAACCTTGATGTTTCCCCTAGAAAACCCCAGCTTTTTGCCCTGGGCCCGCCGCTCTAGGGTACTCTCCACCTGACCCCAGACAGTGGGCGCGGATGTGGCAAGCTCAAAGTCACCCCGACAGGGCCCTACAGACCCCAGAGTCTGGTCCCCGCCGAGGTCCCAGGGGCCTGGGTGGGGCACGCGCTCCGGCAGCGCGCATTCCAAGCCCGGATCTGGGCGCTCCCGGAGGGCTGAAAAGTCCGGAGTGGATGAATAGCCAGAAGATCTGGATTCACTTGCTACCGCTCTGGTCTGTTGTCAGTGCCCAGCTCCCTTTTTCATACCAGGAAACTGAGTTCTTCTCATGCCTACTTGTTGTAGTGACTGGGGGAGGCGGAGACTCTGAATGGGGGATGGCCTTTCTCCATCTCTCCCAAACCCCCATGTTATCCTGTCCCTCCGGTCAGGCTGTCCTGAAGCTTCTCACAGGCCCTGAATAGGGGTGCTTGGCACTCTGAGTGTGCCTTTCCGCCGCCTCACTGATGCTGGAGCCCTGGGAATGGAAAGCCTAGTTGATGGAGACTCCCACAGCACCAACGACACTGGGGACAAAGACTTGTCCCGTGGGCCCCTTGAGGTCTCCAAGATCACACTCCTCTCCTTGGCTTGTGCCACAACCCCTGCTTGATGTGTCCCTGAACTGTAGTGGCCTATGACCCCAAGCCCCAGTGTTCCCCTGGCTTTGTGCAGACCTGGGCCTGGGGGCACAATAAAGGTTTACAGGTGAGCTGGTCTGTGTCTGGTTTCTCCAGTGAGAGAGGTAGGCGTTTTCTGTATGATGCTGTGCTCCCGCCCGAGATCTGCTCCATGCTTTACTTCCTGCCATACTTCCCAACTTTGCTGAAAGTCGCTGGACTCCGAGCTAGTGGAGGGACCGCTGGACCAACAGAGGACCGAGTGGGGAATCTGCCAAGGACCCACACAGGCAGAGTCAACACGGGACCCCAAGGGAGGGGATAGGAGGGCACGGGCCCCAGACCACTCATCCCCCCTCATCCTCTTCCTCTCCTCTTCAGGATGGAGTGGGTCTCAGCAGGGGGACGAGGGAGGGACCTGCCGGGACAGCCTGGGCCCTGGCAGCTTCAGCTGGGCCTGCTGCTGAGCGGTGAGAGGGCCTGGTGAAGGCCTGGCGGGGATGGGATGTGATGGTGGGTCCTGGGGAGCTGGGTCAGGGGCTACGGAGGGTGGGGTAGTGTAGCAGAACCGGCTGACCCCCTGTTCCCAGTGCTGGTCACTGCCCTGGCCCAGGCCCCAGCCCCGGATGTGCCAAGCTGTTCTCGGGGAAGCTGCTACCCTGCCACAGGCGACCTGCTGGTGGGCCGCGCTGACAGACTGACCGCCTCATCCACCTGTGGTCTGCACGGCCCCCAGCCCTACTGCATCGTCAGTCACCTGCAGGTGGGACTGGGGTGGAGGTGGGGGGGCCGAGTCAGGAGGGACTAGCAGCGGCTGAGACATTGACCCTGACCCTGACCCGACCCAGGATGAGAAGAAATGCTTTCTGTGTGACTCCCGGCGCCCCTTCTCTGCCAGAGACAACCCAAACAGCCATCGCATCCAGAATGTAGTTACCAGTTTCGCACCACAGCGCCGGGCAGCCTGGTGGCAGTCAGAGAATGGTGAGGCTGTGGGTAGGGTATGGGGGGAGCTACCCAGGGCTGCCCACCAAGTAGCCTCAAGGCCCTGACCTCTGACTCCTGCCTCAGGTGTCCCCGCGGTCACCATCCAGCTGGACTTGGAGGCTGAGTTCCATTTCACGCACCTTATTATGACCTTCAAGGTGCCCGCATGTCTGGGAGCCTGCTTGAAGCACCCTGCTTGGCTCCCCAATGCCCGTGAACAGAGTCCCAGATCTTCAGCCCAGCCTCTCTGTACTCATACGCTGTGCCCTGGCTCAATAGGAGGCCCTTTCACCTCCCGCAGCTTCTGATGCCTCCCACCTCCAGGCCTGTGTACATGCTGCCCCAATCCCAGGCTGGGTCAGGCGCTATCTCCCTGGGGCCCCTGACTCCCCCACTAGGGGTGGCTTTCCTTCCCGATTCTTTCTTGGCTCCCTCTGGTCACCCCTACCTCTCCATGAGCTGCTTGACAGCAGGCCCCAGCTGGACGGGGTTCTTGACAGGCCTGGGCTGGACTTGGGTCCTGGTGCCCACTGATGAGCTGCGCTCCCCACCCAGACATTTCGCCCCGCTGCCATGCTGGTGGAGCGCTCGGCTGACTTCGGACGCACCTGGCACGTGTACCGCTATTTCTCCTATGACTGTGCGGCAGACTTCCCTGGAGTCCCGCTAGCCCCCCCGCGGCACTGGGACGATGTCGTCTGTGAGTCCCGCTACTCAGAGATTGAGCCATCCACTGAGGGCGAGGTGAGGGCTGGGCTCTGGGCTTGGGGCAGAGAGGGGGCCTGGTGGGCGCGCCCTGGGACACAGGGCCAGCGTCTGCAGTGCCTCAATGCCCTCCCAGGTCATCTATCGGGTGCTGGACCCTGCCATCCCCATTCCAGACCCCTACAGCCCACGGATCCAGAGTGAGTGCTCCCTTCTCTGAGCCTGGCACAGTCCCAGCGTCCGGCTGCTGACTATTTGGGGCCTCAGGAGCTATTTTGGGTGTTTCCTAGGGCAGGTGCCAAGTCCAGTTTAGCTCATACAGCCAGAGACAGGAGGTCTCCCAAGGTGACCTTGGCAGCTTCAGCCCCCCGGTTGGCCGTGGGCCAGCAAGAACTGACTGGGCCTGTGGGTTCCCAATCTTCTTCCCTCTGCTTAGACCTGCTGAAGATCACCAACTTACGGGTAAACCTGACACGGCTACACACACTGGGGGACAACCTGCTTGACCCCCGGCGGGAGATCCGCGAGAAGTACTATTACGCCCTCTACGAGCTGGTCGTGCGTGGCAACTGCTTCTGCTACGGACATGCCTCACAGTGTGCGCCCGCCCCGGGGGCACCAGCCCACGCTGAGGGCATGGTGAGGACCTTCAGCTGGCTGGAGCTGGGCTGTGGGCAGGGGCGGGCCCGGGTGGGCCGTACTGACCACTCGTCTGCCCACCTGACTAGGTTCATGGGGCCTGTGTCTGCAAACACAACACTCGCGGCCTTAACTGTGAGCAGTGTCAGGATTTCTATCACGACTTGCCCTGGCACCCAGCTGAGGACCGCCACAGTCATGCCTGCAAGAGTGAGTGAGACCCCAGCCCCCACTGCCCCAAAACTCTGTGGCCTGGCTGTGCCCTGGGTACAACCTAGGGCTGGTTGGTTAAGTCCCTAACACCTAGATTGCATCTGAAGGGTATCTGGAAGGAATTCCCTGGTGGCCTGGTGGTTAGGACTTAGCACTTTCACTGCCAGGGCCTGCATTCAGTCCCTGGTCAGGGAACTAAGATCCTGCAAGCCATGAGACGTGGCCAGAAAAAAAAGATTTGTGAAGGGGGCTTGATTGGTGGCTCAGATGGTTAAAGAAACTGTCTGCGATGCAGGAGACCTGGGTTTGGTTTGACCCTGGGTCAGGAAGATCCCTTAGAGAAGGAAATAGCAACCCACTGCTGTTTTCTTACCTGGAGAATTCCATGGGCAAGGGAGCCTCATGGGCTACAGTCCATGGGGTCGCAAAGAGTCGGAAAGGACTGAACAGCTAAGACTTTCACTTTTCTTCCTGGTCTTGATGCCCCCGGGGACTCCTTCAACCCTTCTCAACAGTCCGCTCTGATGAGGGGCCCTGTAGAAAGCCGAACCCCCACCCACAAATTCTGGCTGGAGGCAGGGACCTAAGGTGGCACTGGGGGCGCCTAAGTCCCTTCCTCTCGGGGTACGGTCCCTCCAGTGACCTTTGCCCTCTCCTCCCTCCCCTCTCCCAAGAGTGTGAGTGCCACGGGCATGCCCACAGCTGTCACTTCGACATGGCCATATACCTGGCATCCGGCAATGTGAGCGGAGGCGTCTGTGATGGGTGTCAGCACAACACAGCCGGGCGCCAGTGTGAGCTCTGCCGGCCCTTCTTCTACCGGGACCCGACCAAGGACCTGCGCGACCCTGCTGTGTGCCGCTGTAAGGCGGGAACTGAACCCTGGAGCAGGAAGGCTGTCCCCGGGTTAGGAGCAGAGGATGTGCCAGACTATGGCCAAGTTGCAGAGATTTGGGGTGGAGGGTGGGGGGCGGGTGGAGCCAGACTGGGAATCTAGGGTGGGGCTTGAGACTTGACTGGTGCTGGGCTCATTGGCCTAGGGTAACCCTGCACTTCTTTGTGCCCCCAGCCTGTGACTGTGACCCCATGGGTTCCCAAGACGGGGGCCGCTGTGATCCCCATGATGACCCTGCACTGGGGCTGGTCTCGGGCCAGTGTCGCTGCAAAGAACACGTGGTGGGCTCTCGCTGCCAGCAGTGCCGCGACGGCTTCTTTGGGCTCAGCGCCAGCAACCCCCTGGGCTGCCAGCGTATGTGTTTCCCAGTCGTGACTCCAGTCCTGACCTTGACCCTGGACCTCTTACCCTTGACTCAGCCAGACACGAGCACTGCCCCAGCTCCCCACAATGCTGATGGGTCTCCTTCCCTGCAGGATGTCAGTGTGACCCACGGGGCACAGTGCCGGGGGGCACCCCTTGTGACCGCAACAGTGGAGCCTGTTTCTGCAAGCGTCTGGTGACCGGCCAGGGCTGCAACCGCTGCCTGGTACGACTGGAGGGGCCTGGAGTTCTGTGCTTGTCCTCAGAGCACAGGGCTGGAGGTGGTGTCCATGCCCCCCTGGGTGGGTGCTGAGGGCTTAGGGCCTGAACCTGGGTGAGAGGCCAAGGGTGGGAGCCAGTGGTCTGGGGAGTGTACTTCCCCAAGGAGTGTAGAGGCTGAGAGTCATCATTAGACTCTCTGCTGGGCAGAGAGGGGAATCTGTTTCGGGTCCTCAGCAACCTCTTGTCCCGCAGCCTGGCCACTGGGGGCTGAGCCACGACCTGCTCGGCTGCCGTCCATGTGACTGTGACATCGGTGGTGCCTTGGATCCCCAGTGAGTGCTGTAAAAGGGGCCCTGGGTGGGTGGGGAAAGGATCCCGGGCAGGATGGCGGATCCCTCTGGAGTAACCACCTGTTCCCCAGGTGCAACGAGGCCACGGGTCAGTGCCGCTGCCGCCAGCACATGGTGGGGCGACGCTGCGAACAGGTGCAGCCTGGTTACTTCCGGCCCTTCCTTGACCACCTAACTTGGGAGGCTGAGGAAGCCCGGGGGCAGGTAAGGGGGGGCACTGTTGGGGGGCAGGGCATGGATGGCACTGTGGATGGAGAGGCTGGGTTATGGGTGGCGCCTGGTGGAGGGAGGGTGTCTGCTTTGAGCAGAGCCTCCACTGGAGAGCTGGGGCCTGGGGACAGGCTGTGGCAGAAGACCTCCCCTCCCCTGGCTGCATTGCCTCCCAGGTACTCGACGTGGTGGAGCGTCTGGCAACCCCTGGGGACACTCCATCTTGGACCGGCCCGGGCTTTGTTAGGCTGCGGGAAGGCCAGGTGCTGGAGTTCGCGGTGGCCTCTGTACCGAGAGCCATGGACTATGATGTGCTGCTGCGCTTGGAGCCCCAGGTCAGACCCTGCGACACCTGACCCAGAGCTGACCCTCTGCACGTGGGAGCACCTCCTCCATCATCCCATGCCCCCCCCAGGTGCCAGAGCAGTGGGCAGAGATGGAGCTGACTGTGCAGCGTCCAGGGCCTGTGTCTGCTCACAGCCCATGTGGGCACGTGCTGCC